ATATACCTCTTTTACATTGTTTCACCTCAACTCCAAGATAGTAGGTTAGCAACCCCAAGTCACTCATATCGAATACTTTCTTCAATTGATTCTTGAATTCAGCTATCTTTTCTTCACTCGTACCTATCACAATCAAGTCATCTACGTATAAACCAACTATTAGCACTGCTTTTGAGTTTTGAAGTTGGTACACTGTCTGTTCTTGGGGGAACCTGTGAAAACCCATATCCTTGAGTGTTTTGTCGAGCTTAACATTCCACGCTCTTGGAGCCTGTCGTAGCCCATAGAGGGCTTTATTTAACCTGTAAACCTGATGTTCCTTGCTTGCAATAACAAACCCGTTTGGTTGTGAAACATATACCTCTTCTTTTAACTCTCCATTTAAGAAAGCAGATTTCACATCAAGATGGTGAACTTTCTAGCCTCCCATTGATGCAAGAGGTAGGAGTACTCGAATTGTCTCCAATCGTGCAACGGGCGCAAACACTTCATCAAAATCAACCCTCTTTCGTTGCACATACCCCTTCGCAACCAACCGGGCTTTGTATTTTATTACTTTGCCTTCCGAATCTTTTTTAATTTAAATACCCACTTCAGTCCAATGGGTCTATGTCCACGTGGCAAATCTGTCAGATTCCACGTTTTATTTTTTTCAAGTGAGCCAAGTTCAGTTTTCATTGCTTCTAACCAGTTTCGATCTCCTGTTGCTTCCAAATAGGTGGAGGGTTCTTCACCAAAAAACATTAGGTCTACTTCTTCATCTTCAATGGGGTGAGTTTCAGCATATGTTTCAGGTAGAGATCGAAACCCATGCACAGGGGTATTACCAAACATGGAAGGGCTTATTCCTTGGTTGTGCTCAAAAGATGCATTTGAAAAATCAAACGTAAGAAGGTTCGAGTTTGTTTGATTACCTATGCGCGTGCTTGTTGGTGTCGCTGAAGGAGTAATCACCGGAAACTGGAAAAAAGGATTTTCTTCATCACCCGGGTTTTGATACACTTCTTCTCCATATGTCGGTGAATTAAAAAAACTTCTTAAATACCCAAATTGTTCACCTTGCTCATTATTTTGGGCTTCAGCCCAATTCCACTTAACTTTCTCTTCAAATATGACATCTAGGCCCACCATTATCTTATTCTCTTTAGGGTTGAACAATCTATAAGCCTTGTTACCTGGTTCGACCCCCAGATACACCACCTGGATACTTCGATCACTTAGCTTAGTTAATTGATTTGATGGCTTCTTCATGTGTGCAAGGCAGCCAAACACTTTTACATGTCCAAGTGTAGGTTTTTTCCCTTCCCACCCTTCATACGGTGTCATGTCCTTTACTCCTTTCGTTGGCATTTGATTTAGAACATACACTACGTGACGAACAGCCTCCCCCACAATTTTTTTGGCACACTCATAGTCTTCAAGAATGATCTCGTGGCTTCAAGAACAATCCGATTTTGACGCTCAACTACACCGTTCTGTTGGGGCGAATACGGTGCAGTTAATTGCCTTTTAATGCCTTATTTGCTGCAAAATTCTGAGAAAACTTGGGAGGTGAACTCCCCTCCCCGATCTGTCCTGAGTACCTTCACCTTGTATGGACTCTCATTTTTAACCTGAGCTTTAAACTTCTTGAAGGCTGCAAAGACTTCGTCCTTTGATTTGAGCATACATACCCACATGTATCTGCTAAAGTCATCGACCATTAGCATGAAGTTTCAGTTACCTGCCAAAGTTTGTGGTGTTATCGGACCACAAAGATCAGCGAGAATTAGCTCTAGAGGTTTACTTGCTCGCCACATAGCTTCTTTTGGGAATGGTTGTCTGATTTGTTTCGCGACCAAACACCCATCGCAAAGTTTAGTCAGGTGTTTTATCCTTGGCACACCTTCTACTAACCCTTTTCCAACCATTGATTCCAGAACTCGAAAGTTTACGTGCCCCAACCTTGCATTCCATAGCCAAGCCTCATCATCAATACTAGTTGCCATACAAATCGGTTGTGAAGTATTGAGGGTGATCTTGTACAACTGGTTCTTGGACCATTGTACCTTCATTATCAATCTTCCATGTTCATCATGAATTCATAGATATTGATGCAACATCTCAATCTTGTATCCTTCTTTTGTCATCTGCCCTAGACTCAGGATGTTACAATGCAAAGCGGGAACGAAATATACGTCTGGTACAAGTATCTGATCACCATTCTTGCACTTAAACAAGATTGTCCATTTTCCTTCAATCTTCACTTTAGAACCATCACCAAAACGCACCTGTCCAGTCACCTTGTTATCGAGTTCAGCAAAGAAACTTCTCATGCCAGTCATATGATTACTGGCACCATTATCCAAATACCAAAGGTCTTTACCACTGTTGTTCTGTCCCGGGAACACTTTGTCTTCATTTAGTAACACCATGTTGTGTGACTCTTCCCCAAGGATACTCAACAAAAGTGATTCTGGTTCATCATCACGATTTTGAGTTTGAGTCAAGTTTACTTCATATTTTCTTTCCTTTAGAGCTTTGCATTCTGATACATAGTGACTATATTCTTCACAGTTATAACACTTTATATGACTTTTATCCCTTCCTTTTTGACGATTATTGTGTGAGCCATGAAACTTTGTAAAGCTTCCACGACCACCTCTGCCCCGTGTACTTCCTCTACCTTGTCCACCACTTCGACCACCTTTGTCATGATGTGATGTTCCACGTCCCTTACCACTCGAGAAGGAACCCCCATTCGAAGCCTTTTGATTGTTTTGACTTTCTGATAGGGTGAGCAATAAACTTCCTTCCCTGGTTGTGTTATTGCTTCGAAGTTTCAGCCGATCCTCATAGGCCTTGAGCCTTCCTAAAGCTTCCTCAAATGGCATCTCATCTACATCTGAATATTGTTCAATGGATGCTACTAGTTGCAGGTATTTATCTAGGACGGAGTCAAGTAGCTTTTTTAGGAGCACACTATCTTCAAGAGTTGTGTCAAGACTGTTGTGCTTTGAGATCATTGCACCTAGCTTTCCTGCGAACTCATCTATAGACTCCCCGTCTTTTATCCGTAAGGCCTCGAACTCACTCTTGAGAGTGTGCAATCTTGCTTTCTGAACTCTATCAGCCTCGAGGAACCTTGTTTTTAAAGAATCCCACACCTCCTTTGTTGTCTTCTTCTTTGTCACCTGTAACAAGATGTCTTCTGGTATTGATTGGAACATATAAGCCTGAGCCAACTTGTTCTTTTTTTCATCCACAGCTTCTCCCCCTGCTGGTTCAATGGATTCCCATACTCCTTGGGCATCCATTATAGCTTCCATTTTGATCGCCCACTTGGTGTAGTTCGTGGGAGTCAACATCAGACATTGAAATGGCACTCCACCATTCTCTCTTGTAACAAGTTGGTTGGATGATGACATGGATTCATAATGGATATATTTGGGCATGAACCGAAAGCTCTTATACCAAGTGTTGATTATCAGGCTACAAAAATGATCAAAAAAACTGCACAAATCTGTTACAGGGGCAAGAGTGCACACATAAAATGTTGCTGAATTGCCTTTTATTTGACACACTAAAAAAAATTACAAACTGATTGCGATTTATAGACTCTATCACATTAAAATCTGAATTAAAAGTGCTTTAAAACTACCAAATTATAACTGAAAATTTTAACTACCAGGTTAACCACAATGTGGTAACCAATTATTCTCTTTATTGCATTAAACTCAAATTCAAACCAGAATTAACTCCAATACAGCCATGGAACGGATTTGGATGATAGGACGGGTACAACAGGAACCATTTTTTTCTTATCTGGAAAAGCTGTCACCTGGTCTTCACAAAAACAACAAACAGTGGCATTGTCTTCATACGAAGTTGAGTTCATGGCAGCAACGGAAGCTGCATGTCAAGCACTGTGGTTGAGAAGTTTAATAAAGGAGTTGACAGGGTGGAAGGAAGAAGCAGTCAAACTCTTTGTAGATAACAAGTTAGTTATAGCTTTAATGGAGAACCCTGTTTTCTATGGAAGAAGCAAGCATATTGACACCAAGTTCCATTTCATACGGGGATGTGTTGAAAGAAAGGAGATACAAGTGAAGCATGTAAGTGGAGAAGAACAGAGGGCAGACTCTCTAACAAAAGCTTTACCACGTGTGACATTTACAGAGATGAGGAACTTGATTGGAGTTGAAAGCATTATAGCTTAAACTCAGAATTAAGGGGGGAAATGCGTTAGGTTAATTCTAGTTTATAGACATTAGAGGCTCATTTGAATAAATCTGATATGGTTCTTTGAAGACCATGTCTTTAGGGGAATAAAGTGGCATGTGGTCACACTCGTTGAAGCATTTGTTGATGCAAGTTTCTCGGAAGTTTTGTTAGTATCTAGGAGTATTTAATCTCCCATTATGTAATAAGTTTTAATGCATCACGAAATATAGAAACAATTTGTGTTCTAAACTCTTTCTTTCTCATTTATAATTTACAGTGTGAATGTGTGTTTTTGTTGTGAATCCTCAAGATCCTAAAGGCTCAATTCCAATAGTTTAAGGGTAAAGGAAGTTGATTGTTGGTCACTTCATTGGAGAAATCATGAACAATGAACATTATCACCTAGTACAAATGACATCATCTACGATAAGTGGTAGGCTGGAACGACCTATAGCTACTAGAAATCTAGAATGAAGGAGCATGTTTAGTAGTATTATATTTGGTTTAATGGATGCCTAACTTTGGTTTGCTTAGGATGTTAAGTTTTTTCTATGAGCTTAATGTCATGCTTTTAATCATGGGCCAAACAAAGTTAATAAAGTTAATCCATGACCAAAAATGGAAAGGTTTACATTAGGTCCACGAAAAGCTTTATATATGTTTGGCAAATTCTGGAATGGTTGCGTTCTGATCAAAGTTATATGATCATCCAATTAGGGTATTTGAATTCCTTTGCTTAATTTAATTCAACATAGAATTAACTAGAATACATGCATGCCTGTTTGTTACTCGTTTAAATGTTCCCTAATTACTATGCATGCTCTAGTGTGGCACATCTTCTTGCTAGGTATGAGAAAAGCTGCCTTGAACCAGAAAGCGGGACCATCAAAGGAGATGACAAAGATTCAGTAAGCCATAACTTCTAAATGAACTACAACGTCTACATTGTGTTTAACACCATATATATATATATATATATATATATATATATATATATATATATATATATATATATATATATATATATATATACACACACACACACACACACTGAATTAGTGACTTAATGAGATGCACTATATATATACGTACAGGAAGTTCCACTGCAGTGCACAAAATTCAGAACATGTAAAGAGCTTCTACATGCGGTAGACAGGTAAAACAAGGTTAACCAAATAATGGAAATTGACATTATTATATGAGTAATGATCCAAGTTTTTGCACAGGCTTGTTGAAGATAATAATGCCAAGGAGCTCTCTGTGAATGACATGACACAACTAGAAGAAGAACTTCATGCTGCTCTTGTGGAAACACGGTCGATAAAGGTGATTCATCTGCTCGATCTCTAGCTTCTACTTTAATTCATCGCTTTTCTAGACTTTTGTTGCTACTTTTTGACTTGTTCCATTATTTTAAAGTTTTAAGGTTGAATATGTGATTCATGTAATGTGAAGTTCTCATTTCAAAAAGTTTTTTCCTCAACTTTTAAACTATGTGTATTAATTAACAGTAATTGTGGTTGTTCATGCAGACACAGTTGATGATGAACTACATATCAACTCTCCAAGAAGAGGTAAACTTCTACTTAAGTTTTTTTTTCATACAGACCTGGTCATGTTTAATTGGTAGAGTGCTAGCCACATAGTTAAGAGTCAAGTGGGAAGATGCTTTAAAAAATTGTAAACTGCACCACACGTTAATTGTTTGTATGATGAGGCTAATTCATCTGGTTAAATGCAAGGGTGTTAACGTTAAGATCATACGCATACATCCCTTCTCCTATTTGTTACATGCATTGAGATCATATATAATCCCCTACATGAATCTAATCAACATTTATGTTTGTTGAGCAGGAAAAGAAGTTAAACGAAGATAAGGAAGAAACAGTGAAGCAGGTAAGTCTTTTGCAACATTTTCCATAGGTAAATTATCTAATTTTCTACAATTTATTCAAATCTAAATGATTGCTTCTGGCCACAAATATCCTTGTTTAATATTTTACCATTAAAGGGGGCAAATCAATCATTGATTTACTTACCATGATGCCTAATATCATTTATTTAACTATATGCAGCATAAACTCTTAGATCTTTCTCGTTTGTATATTTCTTTGTTTTTCATTTCCAAGTTAGTTTTCATTTATTCTAGTTTTTGAAAGAACGATTGCCAAAATTTCATGTTTCGCTACATACAGTATATGTTGGGAGTGTGTTAGTATGTCAAAATATTGTTTTCCTGTATAATTAAATACATCATTTCAATTTTCAAGTGAAACTATATATGATAATGAAATAGGTAGCCTAACCGAGCATACATGAATGTTTGACTTCCAGATTGCATCAATGGAGCACATGTTTGCAGGTATTGATGAGGGTGGAGGGCATAACGACCTTGCAAATAACAAGATGAATTTGCCCCAACATCTTCTCACTCTCTCTCTTTTTAAAGCCTAATAAACCTTTTCGACTCAGTAACCTTAATTAGTTGCTTCCACAAAGAATTTGATCCTTGCAAATTAATCTGATCTTTAGAATGGAGAATTTATATAAGAAGCCAATAATCCAATCATTGTATAATATATATTGGACTCATCTGGCCTTGTGGAGTGTATCGATCCTGCGTGTGTATTTTGAGTGGGGTTAGTTCTGGTAAATGGGGCAATTTACAAATAGTTTATAGAGACTCCGTGAACCGTGATCAAGTGTATTTTTTTTTATCGAATGTTATACATTTCATCCGGTTGGCGGTGACATATCCTTATCAGTGAAACTTAGCAATCTGTTCCCATTCGGTTATCTTACTGAATAGGCGGTCCACCACTGTTTAACAAAAAAAGAAAAGCGATCCACCGCTATTTTGTAACTATTTGTTGCTTAAACAAACAAAAAGAAAAGCGGTTATTTATTTATTTAGGGCGGGTTTGAATTACGGATTTTGGTTAATTTAGAGTAATTGAACTATAATTAAATTGCAGTAAAATTGCATTATTTAGTTGATAAAATCATATAATCTATTAAATTTTACGTTTGAAAAGGATCGGTCGTTTTCTTTGATTTTTTTTTGGCTAAAATGTAAAATTTTATTAAAATGTTTTATCCCTAAGTTTATTGAAAATTTAGATTGTAACATCGTATTTTTCTAATTTTATTATTATATTTATAATTTATAATTTTGTTAGAACATCAACCAAATAATTGGTTTTCCATATTCTCCCGGTAATCAGGTGCCACATAACCGATTGTTGCCACATTGACCATAATTTACCAATGTCAAGTGTGTCTCGTTAAGAAGGGTAAGCATGGGTTGATTTTGACCTAAATCCGAACCCAAAACGACAAGATTCGGTTTCAAAATTTTAACACAAACCGAAACCGAAACCAATGGGTTTGGTATCTCAGTTCTCGGTTTTCCTTGGTTCGGTTTCGGGTTTAAACCCAAACTAACCGATTTATGGGTTTTGACTTAGGCTAAGATATTATCAAGAAGTTCATTATATAGAGAAGATATTTTCTAGAATTTTATAGAAAATATAATACCAAGGACTTTGATTCGATATTGGACTCCTAAATTTACATTTAAAAGCATGGGAGTTAGCCTCTTTTTTATAATAACTAAGTTGGGTGTCGGTTTTGTCTTATGGGCGATGTGGGAATCAACTAAGTGAGAGCTTAAGAAATTAAATGTGGGACGTGACATAGCTTTCAAAATAAAAGTTGCGATAGTGAGAGGCATAGGATTCGAAGTCGGGACATGAAGGTTGGAGGACGAAGCCCTTAAACGCTTGACCAAACTTCAAAATTTTTTTTTCTCACATAACGAATATATACATATATTTGGTTCGGTTTAGGTTTAATCGGTTTCTTATAAATACAAAACCGAACCAAAACCTGTTTTTTCGGTTTTAAGAAATATAAACCCAAAACCGACAGTTAGGGTTAGGTTTCGATTTCAATTTTGTCGTTTTTTTGGTTTTTGGTTTTCGGGTTCGGTTTTGTTGACACCTATCATTAAGTGTGTATCTAATCAACCAAGTGTCAAACCCCGTTTGCCCTAATTCCTCGACGCCCCGACACTCGGTGGAGACAAACTCCACCATCACCATTAAAGTGGGGCATGGATGAACCAACAACATCAAATGAAATGCATGTGGATCCAAAGGTAAATGTTCTTGATTTCACTGTTGCTACCTTTCTTCTCGTCTATAGATGTGGTCCCAATTTTGATGCTTTTTGAAATTTTATTTACAAAGCCTAACTCCCCGTAACTTTCTTGTGAATTAGGTTTTTATGTTGTCTTTTCCTAGTTATGTTATCTTACAAAGTAAGAGGAATTATGTTGTTATTTCTTGAACATAGTAAGATTGAAAGTAAGTTGTTATCTACCAATTGTTAGACTTTTAACATATTAAGATGAAAGTACATTGTTATTTCTTGAAATTAGTTTAGTAAGACATGGCTTAATATCATAGTAAGTAAATGACTTAACAACTTAATATCATAGCAAGTAAATGACTTAACGACTTAATATCAAAGATGCCAATTGTTATATGCTTGTTTTTACATAACTTTTAGCTTTAGCATATTTTGTTTCCATTTGTTTCATTACAGAGATAAATGGGAACAATATGAATTATATTTTGAAGAAATTATTTTATAAATAGAAACATCTAATCAATCAGACAATGAAGCATTTGTGGTTGATAAACTATTAAACAACAATGATGAAGAAGAATGCACTTCTTTGCGTAACAATGTTGGCTTCGGTGAACTTTTGTATGATTTTTGTCATGTACCTATTACACAAGATAAAATTGATAATGAAGAAATTAAAGAGGATATAACATCTGATAATAAAGGAAGGTTAGATAAGGACATCGATGATGAGTCAGGTGAAAGAGCTACTTAATATGGTATGCATGACCCTAGTATTTGTTAGAAGAAGATGAAACCACATATTGAGGAAAGGTTTGCTAATTAAGAGAAATTATAGTTTTGTATGACAAATTATGTTGTGGCTAATAGGTATCCAATAAGAGTGATAGGATACTCTTCTAAATGGCTTCAAGCTAACTATGGTATGGACAGGAATGGTAAACAATGTCCCTTCAACTTATAGGCTTCATGGATAAATAACAAACTGTCCTTTAAATTTAAGGGATTGAATGAGAAACACACTTGCATTAAGGAGTTTAGGTATGCTACATTGGCCAATCCTGATTGGATTGCAAAATAATTCATTAAACAGTTGTTTAGGAGGCCTAAAATGAAAGGGGGAAAGATTAAAGAAGTTGCGAGGATGAAATTTCTATGTGAAGTTTCAAAGGACGAAGGCTATAGGGCAAAGAAGAAAGCATTAGAATTTATTAATAGGAAGCTCACAGACCATTATGCTCGTATATGGGATTATGCTTAGGAGATCCTTAAGTGAAACCCCAGAAGTAAAACCAAAGTGGGTGTTAATGTCAGTCCAGATAGATGCAATTATTTTTATAACTTTTATGTTTACTTCAAGGCAGTAAAAATGTTTGGAGTGGGGTTAAGGAAGATTTTTTTTGGATTAGATGTAACACCCATTTTCCATATTGGATCGATATAGGGTATAAATGACTCAAATACATGGTTTTTGGGAAAGATCTTGTGTCACGACGTGACCAAAGGGAGGTCACGACGTGACATGCCAAAAATGAGAACGACTATCTGAAAGGATGTCACGACCTGACATAAGTATGATCATGACGTGACAATAGCTGCAACCTAAGCCTATGATCTTATATTGTTTTCTTCGTATTTAAACATATAATCTCATATTTAGGGTTCCATTTCCAACCTCCTTTTCCCTTTAGAAGTTTGAAGCAAACCTTAATATCATCCTCTTCGTTTATGAGCTTATTCTTGGAGTTTTGATGCTCTTGGAAGGAAGAATAAGGCCCTTGTGGTGTAGAGAACCTATTGGCAAGCTTGGAGTTTGTATTTGAGCCATTTCTGGACCACTGTAAGTGTTCAAGATCCAAACTTTATGTTGATAGCTTTTAGATCTAGGCTTCTTGTCCCTTTTTCTTCATGTTGGGGAAGTTTGGATGGAAGGATTCCATAAAGTTGGCAACTTTATGGGTCCTTGAGGTCTCTTGAATGTTATATATTTGGATCTAAAGTTTGGCTAAGTTTTGAAGACATCCATGTGATTGTGGTTCCATTTCTTCAACATTTTGACCTAAGAAGATATCAAGGCATGCATTGGACATACATGTCTATAAATTTAACGCCCGTGTTTCTGGGCTAAGCCTTAGAACAATAATGTAATAGTCAAGGTCAACCATTGTAACCTATTTTGAAGTAATAAAACTGAATTACTTGAATATTATGTGATTTATGAGATTTTATGTGCTAATATACTTGTTTGTAAAGATATAATAAAAATAAGTGTCAAAAATAAATTTTTAGATAAACCCGATATCAATGAAGAAAGTTGTAGTAGTTGTAACAAGGATTCCAGAGATATAAAGAACATCGAAATCCAAGTTATAACGAAGAAGCTATGGCCTGTCGAAGTTTCACGACAAAACCGGCACGACATTGCGTAACGTAAGAAAAGTGAGTTTGTGATAAAGTCCTTTTTAGCCTTGGCGATCTAAATGAAAGTCGTAGTGTTCGTTAAACCTAGAGCGTGCATAAAAAGAACGCCCAAATCTAACTTCGTATGAAAAAGTTATGATTTTTCTAAGTTTCAGGGTAACAGTATGCAGCCCGGTGTTCGAATAGTAGATCGACCGATTTTTAGCCAACACAACCTAAATGAGAACCGAAGGTCTCGTTAATAGTAGTTCAACGGTAAAAGACAGACAAAAACAGACGTCGGATGAAGAAGTTATGAATTTTAAACAGACTTTCCTGTCTCGGCTTGTTAAAAATATAACTTTAAAAATAGATTCAAAATTAGCCGATGAAGTCTAAACGAAAGTTATAGAGTACGGTCCCGCCTACGCGTGGATATAAGGAACGTTGAAAACGGAGCTCGTATGTGAAAGTTACGAATTTTAGAAGTCGAATAGGTAAATTACGAGATGGGTGTGAGGCTACGCCCCGTGTAGCCCGAAGGACGCCTATCGTACGAAGTCCATATGATCCGCGGTCTCGCCTTGATCGGTCCAGAAGAAGCCACGATGCGCCACCGAATATCTGACGTGTGCCTCCTTATGCCCTGCGTACAGCGAAGCTACGCCCAGTGTATGCGAGGCCTCACACCTATAAATAGAGGTGCGAGGGCATCCTTCTTCCTCACTCCAAAACCACTCTCTTTCTCTCTATACTCTCTCTTTCTCTCTCTCTCTAGCCTCCCTAACCCCCCCTCTTTTATCCTAGGGAACCTACCTATCACTAGAAGGAAGCCTCATAGCGCCCGACGGCTCCGAGAAAAAGAGCTTTTCGGCTCAGAAGCTCTGCTCCATCTCAGCCCA